AACATAATTTTGACTATTAAAGTAAAAGAATAACAATTCTTAAAGCTATCATAAAATGCACGACTATCATATTATCATGGTTATACAAGTAGAATGTGATTAACATGCATGATACAACATCATAATAAACTTCGTCATTATATCGCCCATAATCAAATAAATCAGAACTTGCTTAATTACTTTTACCTCCTCACATTCATGCAATCATTATAACTTATAAGGGATTAGAATATCTAGTGCATGCCAACTCCAACTTATCAACAAGTATAGTACTAGTAACATTGATACAACTATCACCATTAATAATTAGACCACACAATTCTCCATTCACAATGCAATATGTATGAAATATATTTCCTCTTTTATCACTATTTTTTTCTTTCATTTACACGTTTAAATCTTTTCTAACAACTAAAGACTCACTTTGAGCAAGGTGCTTAACAATCTCATCAATATTCTCTAATGGCAACATGCATTCATTATCTTCATTATCACTATTATGCTCACTAGCATTATCAATTTCACCATCTTTTAGCAACATAAAATTCTTATTAGGTCATTGTGACGAAATATGATCAACCTTTAAATACCAAAGCATTTAATATTGTTATGTTTCTCATTAGAGTTAAGCGTTTTAAGGTTACCTTTAGGGTTGGCCTTGACTTGTTTTTCTTTCTTCTTCAAACTAGCTTGTCCTTGGCGTGAAAATAATAAGAGACCGTTCTATAAAACTTTTAGGACTGTGCCAAGAAGCATATATTAAGAAAGTCTTAGAATGATTTTGGATGCATTACTCTAAACCCGTTGACGCTCCAGTTGAGAAGGGTCTAACCTTATGTCTTGATCAGTGGGCAAAGACAAATGAAGAGAAAAAGAAAATGAGCAATGTTTCCTATGCTAATGCAATAGGCGGTTTGATGTATGCCATGTTGTGTACACGACTAGACATTTATTTTGCAGTTGGTTTGGTAAGTTGTTATCAAAGCAACTTTGGCCCTGCTCATTGGTAAACAGTCAAGAGAATCTTGTGCTACCTTCATGGTATAAGTGACCTAATCCTCTATTATCAAGGAGGGGACTTAAGGTTAAAAGGATATTTAGATGCAGACTAGGGTGGCGAATGGGATCAGTTTAAGTTGATCTCAGGATATGTTTTTGTCCTAGGTGAAGGTGCCATATCTTGGTGTAGTAAAAAGCAAGACTGCATCGCTTTATCTACAATGGAAGCAGAGTATGTTGCTCGTTGTCTTGCTATATAAGAGACAATTTAGTTAAGAAGCTTTCTATAGGATCTCAACATCACCTCTAAAGTTGATGAACCTGTAGAAATGCATTGTGACAATACTACTGTCATCCAATATACTCTGGATCCAAAATTTCATAGGAAAACCAAGCATATTAAGAGGCATTATCATTTCGTTCGAGGTGCCGTCAAAAAGGGGAAAGTTGTTATTAAGTATATATCTACTAGCAAAATGGTTGTTGATCCTTTGACTAAACCTATACCTAGAGATGTTTTTCGGGGTCATGTAAAGAGTTTAGGTTTGTGTAAGCTTTAATTTTCGAATGAGATTTGATACGTAATGGACATATGTTTATATGTATTGATCATTCATGAAATAAATGTTGTTTTTTATGAAATATTCATGAACATAATTGCATGATTGACATGTAATAATGTCACCAGGCTTTATGATTGACCTTATTACACGAGTGATCTCCCTAACGCTTGAGTAGAAGGTAGGATAAGATTAAATCATATTGACGTTAAGTATGTGCAATATGAATCGTCTTTATACATGTGTTATATTAATGACAAAATATTAAAATTTTATAGTCATTTTAGTAAGTTTAAGATGAGACTCTAGAGAGTCGAGTATGAAACATACTTGATTTCAAACTAAAGCCTTAAAGCCGAATATCGAGTATCAGGTCATACATTGAATATGTTGATCAAGTGGCTCGAGTTAGATACTTGACCAATATCTGGACTTGTGATTCGCACAACATAGAAGAGTGAGATGCCCAACTTAGTGGGAGTTATGTTATGACATACATATCATATTGTATGTGCTATATGACGACCAATATAGGGAATGACAAAATAATTTCCTACTTTGTCACTATGTGAAACCTATGGACTCTTATGTCCTCCTTGTATGATACTCTTCGACTTGGAGCTATCACATGAAGTCAAGATTTGATGTTACTACTTTATTATGTTTCCAAGGGCCACGACCTATGCGGTCCAACAGAGCATGTTAGGAAAGCAGTCAAGTTGAGATGGATTGTTATGAGTGTCTAAGGAAGAATCTTTCTTACATCGTTACATAAGCACGGGCAGTTATATTTTGTATATAACCAAGTAATATAATTATAGCATAGAGTGACAGTGTATATTAACGGTGATGTTCAAATGATCTAGGTATTATAAATCTGAAAGTGTTATATTAGTTATATGGTAACTTAATATAATACTACTTGTTGCCTTTTGGTCACACACCCTATATCCTGCATAAAACATGAGAGATATGTTGATGTGGTAGTATATTATAGTTGGTGTGGCTTGTGTGGTCGAGTGGGAGATGTTGTATAAAATTAGCAACGTCCAGAATATCCATTGTAAAAAGGCACGATCCTTCCTAAGTTTATAAGATAGAAACTCTTCTTATAAAAGGGTATGACTCTTTGTGAGTATATAAGGGAGAAAAAAATTATTTTTGTTCACTGAAGAAAGTATATAACATTCAGAAAAAATATATTATTATTCTCTCTCTCACGTTAAGTTAAATCATAAGCAGACTTGGGTTTTGGGGTGTGAAGATTACCCGAAACTCTAGTAGCATCTAAGAGAAAATAAAAAACATCAATAATTGTTCTATATAGGTAGAAAAGAAAACATTTTATTCTATTGCTTCTGCATTAAGGTTGACTTGATGAATAGGTTGACTTCGATCAATTTGAAGCAACAATAAAATGAATTAAATTAATCAATGCGAAACCAAAAACAAGAACTTGTAATTGGTTAGACCTAAACAAGAGTAAACAAATTAAACAAAAATAATAAGAAAGTGAATTAGTAAATGATGAGCATATTCGGTTTGGACATAATTTTAGTTTTTTATTTTTTTATTTTTATAAAGAGTGAATTAAGGCGGAAACTTAAGAAGAAAAACGCACAAAACAACTAAGTACAAGAACAAAAATGAATTTGTCCAAGATGGATAGATTCAGGTACACTATGAAAATAAAAGAAAATAACACAAAATAAAGAAGATGAATTGAGATTTATCTAGTGCTAAGCTCTAATACCCATTTGATGCAGAACCCAATATTAACATGAAATTTAAATCCATACATAAATAATTAGTATTAGAACTTCAATCTAAAGAACTCTCCCTATTTAACTCACAAGTAGCATATAGTTAAAATTAAGTTGATTGGGATGAAAAAAAAAAAAAAGAATTGATTAAAACATCACAAGATGTAATTGGGATGAAAGAAAAAAAATTAATTAAAACGCCACAAGAAATTTTTAGTAAGTTAAAACCAATTCTTGATGCAACAAGAAGATTAAAAAATTTCACAAATTGTAAAAGATAACCTTTCACCAAAATTGTTTTTCAATAGTATAATGAAGAAAAATAAACATAAGATAGTCTTATATAGGGGATGTCACACTAATCCCAATCCTTAAAAGGAGTATGAGATAATCATATTGTTTAGATGTAATCTAATAATCTAAATATTAAAACCTAATCCAAATAAGAAAAAAAATATTAATCCATGTGGATTAATGAATCCTACATGACTACTAAATAATTAATCCATGTGGCATAAGGATTCCTAATATAAATAATCCTATGTTGCATAAAGACTCCTAATTAAAAACCAATTCCCACATTACATATGACTATTTAATTAAAATCTTGGACTTTATTCTTTATGTATTTGACATTGGTTATTCGACCCAATGACTTATAGAAGATTAATAGGCTACTTCCCCATGTGACTTAGTGAAATTGACCCATTTCTTTCATGGCTCTCCAATTTTAACCCAGACCTTCGTTCTTTATTGATTCATTCTTGAACATAAGCTTCAAAGACTTACTTGAGTCTCTTAACTCGTGATCTAGTGAATGGCCTACTTGACATAATGATGTTTGGGCCATGTGGCCTATTTGCATATTGAATTGTGTTCATACTATACTTTGCATTCATACTATGCTCATCTCCTTGCACACACATTCTATCATGCTTTATGTCTTGATCTCCATTAAGAGGGATGTCAAAAGGCTTGTATGTATGGCCCAAAAGCTCGAGCCCTGAGGAAATGAAAACTTTGGTCGCATGGCCTGTATTACACGTGTTCGTGTGAGTGTGTTTATATTAGTGTATTAGGGTCACATATTTTAATTCTGTGTGCAGGATGTTGATACAACACATTTATTCATTAATCTATAAATATCTCATAATTATGTTTCGAACTTTCTGTACTCATTTAATATTACATCTTACTAGGGTTTCTCTCAGCCACCTCTATTCTCTTTCAAACTCTATATGATTTTTCTTGTGTATCATTAATATTTTCTTTTTTTTTCCCCACAAATTTCGAAAAAAGACTTAAAACGAGATTTTCTTACATACACCTTATTATAATTATTAATAAACATTTATATTTAGGCAACATTAATGCTCGTTAGGATTTTTTATTTGAAGAGCCTCAACTCGGTAATTAAATTTTTATTGATTTAGGAAGATAATTTTATTTATAAATAAAGAATGTACGAATGGACATTAATTAGCAATAAAATTCTAAAAAGGCTGGATTTACTTGCTATAAATCTGACGCTGGGTGGATGCCATGTAAGAGTTTGGTTCTAATGAATAATCTCTCCTGGCTCCACTTGTCCCCAAGTCCTTTCCCCACGTACACCAATTGACCCTCCATGTGTTCGCTCCCTAGACCATCTTCTCCTCACCCCCTGTTTTCTCTCTTACCTGTCTTCTTCGAACGGCTTCGCCTCCTCTCTCCTATTTATGCCTGCGTCTCCCTGCCTAAAAGGAAATTTCTTTCCATCACCTCAGAGATGAAGTATGCCAGATTTGAGGGACAAGGCTCGAAAAAGGCGAGAAGTGCGCCGGAGCAAGCTTCAAATGAGGCCAATGCGTTTCTTGAAAGTAGTGGGTGCAGCCGCTAATATGAATTCTTCTTTTGATATGGGTAACTTCGTCGGTGTCAACACTAATAGTAACAGGAAGAGAAGATTGAAGGAGTCATCTTCATGCGACGCCAAAGATCCTTGCAATTGTCAGGGGCGGAATTATAGTACTGTGCCAGATAGAGGAGATACACCTGCTGACGTACTATTGTCAGATCAAAATAAAGAGGCTGGGCAGGAGCCTAAGAGGTTGACGTCGCACGGACTTGTGTCGGTGATAGGGAGGCGGAGGGCGACGGAGGACGCAGTCGCGGTGGCGCTCGGAGAGATCGAATCGTTCGATTTCTTCGGGGTTTACGACGGACACGGGGGTTCCAGGGTCGCCGACGCTTGTAGAGATAGGATGCATCGGCTTGTGTCGGAGGAGGTGCGGAGACGGGGGCCATGTGTAGTCGAGGGATTGGAGTACTGGGAGAAAGTGTTGGTGGCTTCCTTCGCCAAGATGGACGAAGAGGTGGGTGGTGGTTCTTCTAGAACCAGAGGTCCTGTGGCGGCGCCGGCGGCAGCAGAAGAACATGAGTCGGCGGTGCGAGAGACGGTGGCAAAAAATGTTGGTTCCACAGCTTTGGTGGTGATGGTGGGGAAGGAGGAGATAGTTGTAGCAAATTGCGGCGACTCCAGGGTGGTGTTGTGCCGAGATGGTATTGCTCTGCCTTTGTCTCGTGATCATAAGGTATATGTTTTATCTTTCTTCTTCATATTTTTGCTCACTTTTAATTATGGCTTCTAACACTTACATTACAACGACTGAAAAATTCTGGGTGTCTGTTAAAATTTTCAGACTAAGCTTGAATTTATTTATTTTATATGTATATGCATATCCTTTTTTATTCATGACACACAATATGGGACGAATGAATATAGAAGATCGCAAAAAGAAATTTGCACTGATCTGTTTCTTGTTTACAAAAGCCTGACAGGCCAAATGAAAAAGACAGAGTAGAAGCAGCGGGAGGGAGAGTGTTAAACTGGAATGGTTGCCGTGTGTTAGGAGTTCTTGCTACTTCAAGATCAATAGGTATATGGGTATTAAATTTAATTACAAATATATATGTGTGTGTGTGTATTTAGGTTACAGAGAATGATGTGGATGCAGGAGATGAGTATCTAAAGCCGTATGTAATATCAGAACCGGAGGTGACGATGAGTAAGCGGATGGAGTCGGATGCATTTCTAATTATAGCGAGTGATGGGTTGTGGGATGTAGTTTCTAATGAGATTGCTTGTGAGGTAGTGAAGAGATGTCTTGATGGGGAAATAAAAGGGCGGTTCTCGGTGGGCTTCGGCCGCGAGCGGGCAGAAGAGGCGGCGGCCATCCTCGCTGAGCTTGCTATGGCACGAGGAAGCAAAGACAACATCAGTGTAATTGTTGTTGTCCTGAAAAACTTGACGGCCAACATCACTTGATGTTCATTTCTTTCCTTTTTTTGCTCTCAGTTTCAACCGCAGAGATAATTTTTGTTTTTACTTTTCCTTTTTAAAATCTTATGAATATATATATATATATATATATATAAAATATAGATATATGTACAAACAAGTTTCGTTCCAGAGTAGGCCGTACAAAATGGAAAAACTTGAGGCTCTTTGCAATTTGGATATGAGTCCTGAAATCCTTCATGGGTTGTTCCAAGATCCCCTGTTCTGCAATCTGGAGAAGAGCTTGTTTTCTTTTTTTTCAATTCAGTTTCAACCTAGAGACAGTTTTTCTTTTACTTCATTTTTAATCTCATGAATATCTATATATATATATATGTATTCACAAACAAGTTTTGCAATTTGGATGATGATGATTCCTTAAATCCTTCATGAGTTGTTTCAAGATCCCCGGTTCTGCAATCTGGAGAAGAGCTTTTTATTTATTTTTTTCTTTTCTGTTTTTTTTACTTTGTCAGTGTTTCAAGTGGATAAACTAAGTCTGCTGATGATGGCAACCAAAACCCATTTTGGAGGGCATGAATCCAAAGGCAGAGATGTAAGCAATAAAGCTGTAATTTTCGGTATTTTTTGGGGTTTTGCCCAAGTATTATGCAAAGTTTTGACTTATGAGAAGAGCATGATCTCAGCATATTCTTTAAATAAATCATCTATCCATCTCTCTATAGAAGAAAATGTAGGAACATATTAAATGAATGCTATGGAGAAAAGTCGATACATCCAGAAAAGTTTTTGGAGTAAATAAGAATCAGGGAAAACATAATGTCATTACACAAACTATACTTTTAAAATGTTGTAATGCTTACAAACGCCAAAAGAAACTGAAAGAAGAAAAGAAAAAGCTGTTTCTGAACTACAGGGAAAGGAAAAGACCCCTTGCAAATCTATTGAGAAGTCATTTTCTTCATCACTTCTCCATTGTCACTCTTTCAAATCTCTCTATGTAACACTTAAACAAAGTGGAGGAGAAAGAGGATGAGCACTCTTTTTTTTAAACCGTCTCTTCACTCCTTTCATCCCCCTACCTTCTTATTTAACCTAATATTCTCTAAAACCCTACAGAACAAGTTGAAAATCCCCCAAATATAAAGACAACTCTTTTTTTCTTCTTTTTCTCCGGACTGCTTTCTGTATACCTGCACAATTCTTACACTACAAATCCCAGAAACTATGTGAAACACCATGTTCTATAATCAAGTTACTTATCCCAAAGTGTAGCTTGAAACTGACACGTGTGCTGCGGAAGCAGAATGAATGTAGACAAACTCCATACTTTTTCCAGTTGGTAAAGAGTTTAGCCATGACGGGAAGCTATAAGAGGTTCCAGACTTTTTGAGACCCCATAGAGGACCATAAAGCTGGTTGATTGCAAGCTTCAAATCCTTCAGAGTCTTGCCAGAGTTGTTGGTCACGACAGTGGAGTATCTGTGGTAAGTTTTTCCCTTGGAATTCCACGAGGTTGTTACCTTCTGCATGATGGCAATGGGACCAGAAGTTGAAACTGAAAACAGAACAGCTCAGTTAGACTAGAACTAGATGTTCCATGTATTTCCTGTCAAAAACAAATAAACAAAGGGAAACAGAATAGTACCTGGAGCTGGAGTTAACTTTGGTTTGGGTGTTGGCTCTGTAGCAATGGGATTAGGGGCAGGAACAACCACTGTAAAAGCAATCCAGTTACGTGATGATCAGTATGCAGGTAGGCTACACCGAAAATTACTTGATCAAAGTGAAAAGAGTAAGGTAACGTACCTGGAAGGAGTTGGTTAAATCCACCATGACCCCCACTTAATCTAGCCAATATACCAAGCAGAGGAGCATTGTTATAAGTAGCGGGTTCTGTTTGCTCATAGTTGTCTCTTTCATCAGCAAAGCTGTCGTAGGCATCGGGGCCTCCAACTATTGCACCAGCGAGGATGTTGGGATCACTTCCTTTCCTGCTGAACCAAGTAGCATAGCCCCCTCTGCAGCTCACAAATGTAGGGTTGACCTTAATGGAAACAATTGAAGAACCCCTGTGATGAACTTGTCGTGGATAATTGTTTCCATAGCCCACCATGTAACTTGTTGCTCTCGGGTTGTCTCCCAGAATGTAGTCGACCTGAGCACCAAATGTTCCGGATCATTAAATTTCGTTCTTTCTTTTAACTTGAGAGGTCAATTTACTTTCTTTATATTCAAAGATGTAATATAAATTCAAGTACTGCAAATATAGGAAGTAGACATTTGACGACTACCTGAGATTTTGCAAAAGAGAGAAGCTGGTTTGGTGCGACATTGCCGGCAGCACATTTCAAGTTTCTCCCAGCAGAAGTGAGGTAGTCCGAGTAGACGGTTGCCAAGAATGAGGCACTAGTAACAAACTGCATGTTGTTCCACCGCTGGCGGAAAATCAAGCCACCAGGAGTCTTCTGAACATTTCTGCTGCCTTTTCCAATAAGTGAACACATGAAGTATTCAGCCTTCTGCTGGTATCTCTCAAAAACTGGCGCATGACGACCAGCTTTTCCTTGCATTAGGAACTGAAAGAAAAGATTAGCCAAATTAATAGTTTGCACACCAATCCCATTATTCTCTCAAACTAATTGGCCGAGACTAACCATTTACTGCTGTAATATTGTTAACTATCATGGGAAAATCAGTTCAATCTATTACAATAAATTTAAATAACAGAACGGTATAGAGGACATTTACTTGAAGAATGAATTACCTTAGCCACAAGGGTCTGAACCCCAGCATACTTGACATCCCAACCAAACTCGGTCATTCCCCATCCAGTTCCACCCATGGAGTCACCATTGTTTCCAAGATAATTCAGGTAGTACTGGTTGTTAGTTGCTTGATACAACCATGAAGCAGCCCACAACAACTCATCCTGTGAGTACATATCAATCAATTCAGCAAAACATGGTCATCTCAGTTTCGATTTTGACAAAAGAGGGGAAGTCTTAGTTTGTTAAGCGATGTAAAAATACAATGAAACGAATACATACATTGTAGCCACTGACAGATCGGTAATATTTCTGTGCCACAGTAATAGTGCTATCATATTTGCCTCTGTATTTGTCCGCAAAATCGAACAGCTGAAAACAAGAAGCAAATGAATGTTAATCCCAACATAAGTAGTGCATGTCTGCGAAATAATGAAGATAGAAAGGGTAATATAGGAATAAAAAAGGTCCTAATTTTTCAAGTAACAAATTGCATATGAGTTCCTAGTTTATATATAACTATAATCTACGCTGATATTTTTTTCAATAATATCTGTTACAATTATATGTACAGAAGAATAAACATTCAAATTTCTATTATAATGAACCAATAAAGATTTGATTATTATTTAAAAAAAAAAAAAAAAAAAAATCTGTTAAAAACTTTGACGTAAATTTTCTCTTACAAAGTTTCTTAAGAATTGTTTATTTCAAGTTGAAAACATGATGTGTGGCTGTGAGAGAGCACCGACAGAGATGGCACGTGACAAGTTTGAGACTGATGTGCGGGCATAAAAATGGACGGTTAGGGTCGCAATGTACGACAGATCTGTACGGTCCACAGACATGACCCGTGATAAACGGCGAGGACCGTCTGTATATTTGTGGATCCGACCTATGCGCCGTAAAACCTTTTACCCCCAATCTAGATTTTTTTTTTTTGTTTTTTACACATTTTTATTCATTTGTGTGTATTGAAAAAATATACCAACATTATTTTTTAAATATCTCATCATATTTCTACTAGGATTTTTTAAACATTATTCTTATTTTAATTATTATATTATCTAATATATTGTATAAGCTTAAATACAAAAATGATTCCAGCGCAATTAAACTTCTCTGATTAAGCCTTCAATTTTTTTTACCATATATAAGTTTTCTATGTCATAAACTTAATATACTTGTATAAATTTGTATTATAAATCACCTAAAACGACATCGCTTTAAGAAAAACATGTTTTGAAAACCTTGATAAATCATAGTTCCTGACATAGATAAGCATTGCTAGCTGCCAAATTCCGCCATTAATGACCTCAACCAAAACAGCGGCGAACTCTGCCAATAAATGTAGAGCTAACGTGCGCTGGCAAAACGCAACCAACACTCTGACAAGAAAAGCGAAGCATCGTAACCGTCTATTTACTACGAGAGTCTCGCTAACGTGCGCTCAGACCTATTATGGAATGCCTAACTGCATTTTTTCTGCTTTTTGGAAACAGTGAAAACAGTTGCAGCGAAGAAAGAGGTGCTCTTTTCCCCAAAAAAAAAAAAAAAAGAAAAAGAAAGAAAGGCATAAAACCTGATGGGCATGGCGGAGGAGCAGGTTGGCGTAGGACGGGTTGGAGCGGCGGAAGACGATGGAGGCAGCGGCCATAGCGGCGGCGGTTTCTCCGGCGAGATCTGACCCGGGGTTGCTGGGGTCGATCTTGTAGGCGCGCCTGTCGGTGGTCATGTCCTCAGGTCTTTGCCAACAGTAGTGGTCAGTGTTGCCATCTCCCACCTAATTAAACCGTTTTAAAATAGATTATGATCTGAAAAATCTGATAAATTAATTAATTATTATTAAATTTCCGAGATAATCAATCTTATTGAAAAGGACAAGAAACTAATTAAAAGAAATTATTAAAAAAAAAAACTACCAAGGATTGAAAAAATTACATGTTGAGCAAACAGATTAAAGTAAATAGTCCTCAAATGGTTTCTTATGAAGATAGGAACACTCTTGAAATTTCAAACAGCAAATTGAGCTAAAAAGAAAATAAAGATGAAAAAGTAGGGAAGGTACCTCGCCATAGAGGACATAAGGTTGAGGATGTGCTTTAATGAAGTAGTCAGTGCCCCACTTAACGGCATCCATGGCATGTCCCAGCTCTCCACTTGCGGCCATTTGCTTACCGTACTCGATTATGCTCCATGACATCATAGTTACTGTGAATGCCATTGGCAATCCAAACTTCACGTTGTCCCCTGCATCGTAGTAGCCTCCTACCAGATCCACCTGCAATTTTCAAAACCAGTTTAATCCAGCATTCGAATACAAATCAAATTGAAAAAGAAAATCTAACTACTGAGCAACTTACTCCGCTAGCCTTGCCATCGTTTAGACCAGAATGGGCTCTCCATGTGACTCGCTGTGTAGAAGGAAGGTAACCGGATCTCTGCGCTTCAAAGAAGAGAATGCTCTTGCTCAGAGCTTGGCCGTAATCATGACCGGCTATGGCTAAAGGAAGGCAAATAAGAAGAACCAGAGGAGCCACAGAGACGAGTCTCTCCATACTAGCAACAGTCGATAAAAGAAAAACAATTGTTTCGGTAAAATCGTAAATGCAGAATCACTCCGGATCTTTTCTTTTCTATTTTGCAGAAACCAATTCCTTGAGAAAAGATGAATGAAGAGAAAATTGGCAATGTCGGTATGATGTATTCAGCTGAAAATTACTGATAAATCCCACCAACGAGGAGAGAAGAAGAGCAGAAAGACATGAGAGGTGTGGAGTGAATGAGAGTCCAACACCAACACAAGAGTCTATATAGGGGGGGGGGAGGAAAGGAAGGTACATTAATTAATTGGTTTATTTTTTTCAATTCATATTTCGTTTTTTAAATTACTGAAGAAAAAAAAAATCATAGAAAAATAATTACGGATAGTTTATTAAAAAATATATATATATATAATTTCCAGGGTTAAAAGGAAAAATGTTTATTTATTATATATTAATAAATGCTCTCGTATGAATTGACCATAATACCCTTATAAAAGAATGAAACAAAAAAATCTATGTTAATAATTAAGTGGGCTTCCTTCAAAAATTTGTTGACCTTTAAATTTAAATTCAATCCCGTAAGTATGATGAAATTTTTATTGTTATTTGTCAAAATATATATCATTTCAATTTTTATGAATTTGTAAATTAATTTACATAGTCTGTTTCTACATTGATTCCGGACATTATGTTGTAAATCAGTTGTCTAGATTAATGGAATTTATTTATTTATTTATTTTTTATTTTTACTGCAAAGGAAAAACATTATTTTATTATAAAATTCACACTTAATTGATTATGTTACTTAATACAATGCATTTTAAATTTTAAAAGTACTCTTTCAATTCCATATTATAATTACATAAATAAATAACTAACTGCACATAAACTATAAATTGTAAGGCTGCATTTGATTCTTTGACATGTTTTCCAATTCCAAGAACAAAAAACCTTTTTTATTAATAAATAAAAAAAAAAACCATGTTCAGTAATTAAAAATAATTTATTTTTTTTCTGAAAATATCAAAAAATTATATTTTCTAATCGTTTTTTTATTCTAAAAAATAGGGATGAAGGGTGATGATGACCCAGATATATATATATATAAATTCTTTAATACAATAGATTTTGTATTTATGTGATTATATAAAGTGGGGAATACTAGATATAAAATAGATATGATAATTATCAAACTTTTAATTCAATTTATTACACATATGGTTATATAACAGCAACTTTTAACCTTATTAATATAAACAGAGTAAATGGTAAATAAATTACATATATCATATATTTTTGTTATGTAAAACGTTTTAGTCTAATTTTGATTTGCTACAAAAAGTGTAATGCTTTTTTATTATTTTTCTACCAAATGATGAAATTGATATTTAAGTAGTGCAACGAATTTAATTAATTTAATGATGATCACCAGCATATCTACTGTTTATTATGTATGTGTGTATGTATATATATATATATTTTGCCTCCAGCAATTTATGCAGTCGTGAATCTTCTCGCAAATTAATTGCTACAAGTATAACATTGCTCTTGATTGTGTGTTTTTGAGAAAAGTATTGAATTACCAAAATAGCCCTTCAAATATCTATATTGATATTTACCCAATTAAAAGAAAATATGATAATTACCGCATAAAAATAATTATGATTAAAATTCGTAAATTTTTATTGAATTAAAAAATAAATAAATAAAAAAAAATTAATAGAGAGGAAGGAGATAAACGTAGTAAATGACAGAAAAACGTGGAGGGGTGGGATTCGAAAACCCGACAACCCGACAAACACCACTCATCACAACCAGTCATTAGTTAATTTTCTCTCTGGATTTTTATTAAATATAAATTGGTGCGTGCTGTAAATTAGTATTTATTTTAAGACCACCGACAGGGTCCAGGGGCATTTATGTAATAATAAATATTAAATTTTTTATTTTTTATTTAAAAAGAAAAGTGGGATGTGGTCAAAAAAAGAGGAGGGATCCTGTGTCAGACCGCTTTATTCCCAACCGCAATCAACGGTCTCCGCCGAAAAAGAGATTTTTTCTCTTTTATAAAAGTAAATTAAATTATTATTTTTTGGAAACCAGTTAAAAGAGAAGTCAAACAGGCAAAGTTTCCTCAACGCCGGTTTTGTAACGGTAACGGCACCACGTTGCACCCTTCTCCGGTTAAAGAAATGAACAACCTTTAACTAACCACCTGGCAAGATATTAAGCATACTTTTTGGTAGCGGGAAAAAGAACGAATCAGCCTGTTTGGTTGTGTGTAAATAATTTTTCTTTATTTTATTAATCAAAGTGAGAAAAGGGGGATGGAAGTCTACTTTTATTGTGAAGTGCCAAACAGGTACAACCTAAATGGAGAGAACCCATTTGGAAATTGGTTTCCTTTTTTCATGGGTTTGATGCTGGATTTAGATTCCTATTTGAAAATAAATAAATAAAAATCAACTCTTGGCACTCTAATCCATTCAAATTAATTCCCTAATAATTGCTTAAACTTCAAATTACACAGTTTAGCTTATGACGCCTCATTGTTGTATTTGCTTAATCTTCAAATTTCTTTGTATTTGGTTCACTTGTCAGATTGCCCAAAGGGTAAAACCATGAAGATATAGATTTTTAAATAAATTAAGGCTCAAGTTTAATGAGTAAAGCAAGCCATGTAAGATAGAGTTGAAGATTGGGACAGATAGGTTTCATATATCTTTCTTCTCTCTTTCCTCCTCTTCCA